AAATATTGGAGTGAGGCTTGGTTCTTCTTTTGAATGATTTATACTCTTATCTACTTTCTTCTTTTTTTTTTTTTTTGCTTTTTATAGTCATTAATTTATGGGTATTACTAGAATGTTGCCAATTGTGATTCATGTTGAAATTCTTTTCTTATCTTAGTGTATACTCGATCATTACTAAAATTTTATGTGCATCCATTATTTTTCTAGTAAAACTTTAGATTTTGAGACTACTAAATTATTGTTTGCAAAGAATTATGTTTGTTGTTCTAACTTTAAAGGCAATTCATTTTACCAAAACTAATAACCGATAACCTATGGTTTGTGATCTTTTTAGCATGTTTTTATCGTATAGCTCATTCGAGGTTGTATGACTAACCTTGAAACTACATTTTAGGAAAAATAATTATCGAAATTATTGAATAAACAATATCAATTTTGTCATGACCTTAATTCAGTTAAAGTATAAATTGACCAATTGGGAACTATTAAAGCTCATGCACATAAATCTAAACTAGATTCTAATCACAATGACAGACATATTCAAAGTAATGCTAATTTCAGAGGGAGATAGAAAAATCATCATTATGAACAATTTATAATATTTAATAATGATGTTTATAAAAATTAAGGATTTCAAAATTTTAACATAGATGATGATATAAGAAGAGAAGTCAATGATGATAAATTTCATCTTGTTATTAATTGAGTGTTGGATTTAGATAAATTTGAATGAGAAATCATGTATGATAAGTGACATGACATTCTCTCAAAAATGAAATTAATTAGACAACCCAAATCACCATGATGGATGATTAAATTGAACAAAATAAATCAAAGATGGGTGCCTCCAATTAGTAGACAAGCATATTTGGGAATAAACTGAGAAACTATAATATTACAAGGTTGCATAACATGTGTTGAACCTGATCCGTTTGAGGTTTGTCTTTGTGTTGTAGACAGCTAAGTGAAAGCATTTGTTCTCGGGTTTTTCTACCTTAAATGGGACCTCAATACCATTGTCCAAACCTATTTTATACTACAATAGCTAGTAAAATTCAGTTCTCTCCCTTCAATTTATCATTGTCTGATCCAATCCTTTTTTGGTATAAGAGCCCTAGATTAAGGATGTTGCCAGGAAGAACGAACTTCACCAATACCAGGAGATTTTTCATGAAATTCAACAATTATAAAATAAGTTAGCGGTGCCTAAAAGGCATGATCAAGAATAATGGTATGAAATCAAAGTTGTATAATCTAACTAGTTGAGATATATGTGTATATATGTTTTACCATAATTCAATAGTTGAGTGCGGTACCCATGATAACTTTCAGAAACTTTATAAACTAACCATTCAGGTTTTTTTTTTTAACTATCGAACCCATATATTTACCGCTGCTGCAATGACACTATTGAGAAATTGAAAAAATCCATGAGTTGCGGTTTTACCATGAATTTCGATATTTGAGTAAGAATTTGAAAAATATATCAAAAAGGGTGGTTAATCTGTAAATAACAAATTTCAGGTGGTCAATATGTAAATAACAAGTTTCGGGTGATCTATGTGTAATTAATAGGTATAAAATCCATCGTTATCAAAATTAGATCAATATATTCTTAACCAAAATTTCTCGATCGTATGAAAAACTATGTCAGCTCTCAAACACAAATTCTCTTAACTCAAGGACGAGATCCAAAGCTTCATCTCCGCGAAATCATCAAGTCCTTCTAATCCAAGCACAATAAAAAATTCTTACTATTCTTTCTATCCTTACCAACTCAGACACAAAACTAAATCAATAAATCCCTTCACTAAACCCTGAGAAAACAGAATTCTTCAATGAGAAAAAAAAATTCATCAATGAATGAGACTTTGATTCGGCTAAACAACGAAAATTTGTTTAAACACATCTACTACGCAGTAACAACGATCAATCGAAGCCCCGGATTCTCCGACTCCCCTAATTTCGCAGATGCAAAATGTATTCTCCATATAAATAATGGATCATAAAACAATGAAATAAACGATCGATGGGCTAATAAAATCCATCAGAAGCAGTTCAACGAGACGACTGATGAAGAATCATGAGGGTTTCACTTCCAGTCTTTAATCGGGGAATCATGATGAAGAATAGGAAGAGCTTCGTACCAGAGATAAGCGCAGAGAAGAGGCCGGATCCGATTAGGAAGAAGCCCGCCATTTCTCTCACTCCGCTTTCGATCCCCCTCTCCGATTTTCCCGCTTGCGAAACTGGCGCGGAACACGGTTTTTCAGCTCCGGGATCCTTCCTTAAATAGTGAGGTTTGATTAATCCAAAGGATGAGCGGTGAGAAAGTCATTTAAAAAATATTATTATAAAATGAAATAGAATTAGTAATTTTTAAGAAAATAATAAGAAATCATTTAATAATACATCAAAATATTATTTTTCAAATATTTTTTATATTTTTAAGATTAAAATTTCCAAATTTATTATATTTTGAGAATATTTTATATTATAATTTTTTAAGACAAATCGACTTGTGTGCTAATGAGTCGAGTTGGGCTCACTTGAGCTTGGATTGCTAGCTCATCAAGCTAATTTCATGAGACACCGATCAAGCCGAGCCCAAAGTAAGCCCTCCTATGCCAAAAAAATTATGAACCATAAAAAGGTCATTGGAGAATTAAGGTTAATAAATACAGCTACAAAGAATATCAATTCCAAATGAATTAAATTTGGGGCATTCAATGGCCAGCATAATAGTGGAACCCTTTATACTAAACCAAATTATTATATTCATATTTAGGCAAAATCTCATGAAAAAAAATCATGAACAATTTTATTAGAATGGTTATTTAAACCTTTCTGAGCGCAAATATTTTAATCATTATTAATGAGAATACTGAAATTTTTGTTGACACGTTCATCGAGAGCAAACTAGCTATGAGAAAAGACCACTTGCCATTAATAGTATCCTTACCAAACTTAGTATTATGTGTCAAAAAAATATTAGTGATTGTCACGCAACAATGACCTGACGATAATCGTTGATTGTGATTGTGTACCGTGATGGTAGCAATTGCCGAGCAGCAATAATCCAGTGATAGTGGTAGTGTCGGTCAGGTGATGGTGGTCACGAGATGACGACAACTTCACAAAAATTGTTTGATGTTGCGAAGACAGTGGTCAAGAGATGATAATATAGAGACAGCGATGATGTATCACAGCAGCGATCACTATCAGACATCAATGATCCAACATTGTGGCATCCCATAGCTTATTATCTGAAGACAATGAAAATGTGCTATAATAGTGGTGGTTGTTGGACATAAATGATCGAACACAACGATGGTCTGGAGATGATGATCCGGTGACAATAGTGGGTGTTGGTGTCGGTATCGGTGATTTGGCATAAAGATGTTCGAAAGGTGACGAGTCAATGATGATAGTACTATTTTGATGATGACAATTTGACAACAATGATAACAAATTGATGATAGTGATATGTGGGTGACAATTGTAGCTCAATATCAGTTGGGTGCCGAATATTCGATGATAATTGGTGACAACAATGGATGAACGATGGCAGTGACATCCCGAAGATGACGGTTCAAACTGTGGTGGCCGAATGACAGTGGCATGACATGTAGGTTGCCTAACCATGGTGTTTAATCATGGGGGTGGAAGCCCAACATTAAGGGCATGTTAATGTTCATGAGTTGAGGGTCCAGCAACAATGATATCCCAATGATGGTGGATTGATGGATTGATGTCATGGGTCTAGCACAACGATGGTGGCTCAACGTTGACTGGGTGATGGTGGTCCTAAGGCAAGAACAACCCAATGATGGAGGTCCTATGCAGAGGTTGTGGTTGTACGATGGTGGCATGATGGCAAGAAAGTGACACAATGATGATAGAGGCAGTGGCTTGTCGTTGGTGGTTCAATGGCAGTGGCAAACAAATGACTGTGATTCGACACAACGACCGGGGATCGGAATCGATGTTCTAATGATGGCGGCTTGACAATAATGAAAGTGACCTAATGATGATGGAGGTGGTAGATCGGTATCGATTGATTGCCAGTGGTATGGTGGTTGTGACAACTTGGTGATGATAGTTTGACATAATGATGATGGCCCAATGTATGTTGTTCGACGATAAAGATTTGATGGTGGTCGTGGCAACCCAATGACGATGATCTGACTTGGATACGACATCTCGATGTTGATGGTTGCCTGATATTAGTGGTTTGACTTAATGGTGCCAACCGAAGATGATGCTGAGCAATCAAGCCCCCCATAGATGCAACCAAAGTTCCCCAAGGCATAGGAGTCCATCTCTCACAAAATTGATTAAAAATTTCACCATATGCCAGCCAAGCCATAGGCACAATGAGTGTAAGGCCATCCGGTTATCAAAGAACATTTATTTATTCATTCTCATGGTATACTCTCACCTCCAGATCTAAGAGCCAATACATTTGGGAAACAATTGTATATTCATAAGAGATATATAAGGGTCGAAGCATTCATTAATAGATTTTTGCAGGCCTAAAAGGCCCAATCTTCTATTTCACAAAACAAATCGGCCACCTTCCCCCTACTAGATTGCTTGTCAAAGTGATATGTCCAGAACAAAATTTGCTCGTTGAAGTTATCTGTTGAACCTTCACGACTTCCCCCTACTAGATTGCTTGTCAAAGTGATATGTCGAGCTCGCTTGCCATAATGATCAACAAAATTTGTTCGTCGAAGTTATCTGTTGAACCTTCACGATTGTTCCTCGAAATTCTCAAACCAACGAGATAAAGAACATCACTAGAGAACAAACATACGTCCTTGTCTATCTACGAGCGGCCTGGCAATCGCATCACCATTTTTCACGAGAACATCACAAATGAGTCTTATGTCGCACGATCAACATGTTATATCTCTCTTTTTCTTCCACCCTTGCTCATAAGATGCGTGCACTTCTTAATGTTATCATCGGGCATATAAAACAAAAGTCGCTTTCGAAAAAATCAATAGAAAAACGTAAAAGGCTGAAATCGAAACCGCCCGACCTAATATTCTCCGAACTATATATGCCTTCAATTTACTTTCACCATCTCAGATGACTGGAAATCTCAACAATGGCTCTTGCCAGCACCTTCGTGTCTACCTCGCTCTCCTTATCCCACCCCATTCTCACCCCGCGCCAATCTAGGCTTTCCCGCTTCGTTCTTCCAGGCACTCACCTTTCCCCTCAGTTGGAGATCCTGAAGGTTTCGCCGTTCTCTCATGGATTCGGTGCCTCACCCTTTGGATTTTCTGGAATGATCCGGGGGTGAGCACGATTTCATTATCTAGACTGTCTTATTGTTTAAATCTGTGCTGATTTATGGATTGAATCGACTGATGGCTCATCTCGATGATCCAATCGGGTGGATTGTTCAAAGGAATCTGAAAACCTATGCGATCACCGTTTTATAATCTGCTGGGAGCGGTTAACCTTAGATTTTCAGAAAGGTATATGCGGTGTTGATCTGTGTTGTTATTTTACCTGTTCCCTTTCCATTATGTTGCTTCGGCTATGTTGGATGGATCGGGCAAGCTCTTAGCGGACATAGTTTCTGGTGAAGGAAATTGGGAGAGAGGAACTTGTCTTAATTTTCTTGAATCTTGAAAAGATATGGAAACGAGTCCCTACGATGAATGATTAAAATTGTTTGGCGTTTTGGTTAAGGAACTGGAAGATATATAGTTCATCAAGAAAATAACATCTAACTGGGTTTTATGAAAATTTGCTGGGTGATAGACCATAGCAATAATCTTAATTTAGCGATAATGACCTAATTAGAAAATTTCAAGAAAAAAAATGATTCTAGCGCTGTATTTTTATGCAATTCGTCAATACAAAGGTTTCTCACAAGTACATTCTCCTGATGAATTTTTTCATATTTTGCAGGTACAGGATGGATCCTAACAAATAAATACAACACTTCAATTTTCACATACCTGGTTTGAAAGATTTTGATATGCACGTCTAAACATCACTTGTTTCTTTCTGCAGGAGCAGTTTTCAAATCCCCGTCAATTCTGCTGATGTTTTGGGATCCCTTTCCTTGGTATCTAGTATTTTGTTTAATTTTTTTTGCTCATGATAATAATGAATTTCTATGATAGTTTGCACAATAGACCACACAACTTTCTTGTGATCAGGTTAAGTCAAAATAAAAATTCTAGGCTTATAATCCATTGATGTGAAATCAAGGGCATGTTTGGTAGCATAGTTTTAAATGAATTTTACGCACGTATTCAACATAAATATAACCAAACATTAAAAATATGAAATGTAAATCCTATGCTCTGTTAAATGGAATATTCTCAGATTTCGTGAAATTTTCGACTTAAATCCCGATTTACTAAATCTGATTCACATAAGGATTTAAAGGCTTTGCCTAGCAAGTGTTTTCAATATGAATTTCTTAAATCCGAATATATAGAATTCTATATCTATCGAAAAAGTTGACCGACAGGAGCCAAACGTTGTCGAATTGTAAAAAGGCCAACAAAGACAAAAAAGGCAAGTGACAGTGAAAGCCATGATGCTTCGACACATCATTTTCTTTCCTAGGGATATATGGACGGGGAAGGAGAAGTGGAATAATGATGAATTCGGCTGTCTTCTTGCTTTTGGATGATTTACGTACATACCACTCAATTCTCATGTATTTACATATCCAACAGTTAAACTGTCTTATTTTACATATATGCCACCGTTTATGCATGAAAGGTGCATTTCACTTTTTTAAGAATTAAAATTGTGGTAGTTTTGATTTGATATAAAAGATTTGGGGGGCATAAATCTATAAATCAAAGTTCAGGTGTTAGATTCGTAAATATATAAGAATTGGATGATATGTATGTAAATGTCCCTTTGCTTTTATAGCTTTTCAACTGTTGTGACAACTGTGCTCAAATTATACTCGCTGAAAACTATCTACAACCCATGCTTCCCTTCATTAAGTTATTCCTTGAACTGCGTAAATATCATAGTTAGTGTCATAACTAGATTGTTTATTGGTTAGATTAGCTTAAAAAATATGAAGTTGTAGTATAATGATTTGGTCTCCATACAATCAACTATAATTAGATGTCCTTTGTCTGCAGAAGAACCCTCTAAGTAGTTTGCATGTATTTTTGTATTGTAAATCCTAGAAATTTCTCTATTTATGTAACTTTGTTAGGCACTTAATTTTCTTTTCCTACAAAACAATACTCTTAGCCTGGTCAATGGTTAAATTAACATAATTTGATGGTGACACATACGCACACACTACTTTGAGAATGCCACGTGAGATCCTACTGAAATGACTTGCCAACTTCATGTAATCTTTTTGATTTCTGATTGACCCATTTGATCTTTACATAACAAATAGAGACCATGCAACATTAACAAAATGGGACCCATTATCTTAGATGTACACATCATTAGTGAACACATCACCAGTGAATCTCACATTAATCTTTCATAATCTTTTCGTGCGAATTATCTTTTACTAAAAGTACAAAAATAACTTTCTTAGTTTATAAAATTGCTAGAAAAATTGCATAAAAATAGATAAATTTCAAAGATTGTTCTAAGTTTAAAGCCAAACCACAAAATTCTATAGAAATAAATACAAATATAAGCAGCATCTCTGGGACTTGGTTTTGAAAATCTCAAATTTTCTCTAAGAAAATCTTGAAAAAATTCCAAAATTCCTAATATTAACAAACATATGTGGGTATAAAAGATGAGTAAAAGTGGGAAATGATTTGATCAAAATCCTTGCATTTCGAAGGTTTTGTTGACATAATTTGATGCCTAATATTTTTCTGGAAAATAAAAAGGCGACCTTTTTGACTTGTTGGGCTCAATCATGGTTGTTCTTATGCAATTCAGAGTTCAGGTGACCACTTAGGGCTATCAAGTATTTCAATTCTTGGATCGATGCATGTATTTTTGCTTTGATTTGTGCGTGAACATGATGACAGCTTTGAGACAATAAAACATGTTAAAATCACAAATTTCTAGCTAGATCATAAATGTAACCAACTTAGTAAGTCTAACCCTTAGGGTTAATTTCCAGAATGGGGTTTGAATGGGTTCATATTTTACCCTTAAAAGATGTATCCTTGGAGGATTTTGCCAAGTCATTCTCAATGGAGCTGGCCCTTATCTATTAGTTGAAAACACTTTGCCAATGATGTTCTCCATTGAATCCAACTCTAGTTAAATTACTTTTGATCAAGGTCAACAATTGGTAGGCCTATTCAACAGCTAAATGAATTATTGAAGTTCCAAGCTCCAATTTGCTTCAAAAATTGTGATATCACACCAAAAGAAGGGCAAAAAGGGATTTAAATCCAAGACTTCAGCCAAGCCTTTGAACATATGGCCTTCCAATCCCTTTCTTGCAACCTAAAATGACAAACCATTGCAATATTTTGTGGTGATATTCAGAATAATGTGAACTTTTTTTATTTATATGAAAGAGGTATAAATAACCCTTACATGAATCCTATAATAGGAAATACAATAAAAAGAAATAACAGAAAAAAGAAAAGATTTAACATCTAATATCTCAAATTAATCAATTCATATTAGTTATTTTGATATAAAAGAAACAACATAAAATAAGAAAGGAAATAAACCCAATTAAAAAAAAAAAACTAAAATAGTAAAGAAAATAAAGTTAGATTAGGAAATAAATCTAATCCACATAATTTCTAACAGGAATAAGCTATTTCCTAATATAATTTTGAACATTTTGGGTAGTTAAAAAAATCACCTGGGTGCTAGATCTGTAAATAGCAATGTTTGGGGTGCTATGTATGCAATTATCCCATGGAAAATACTAACATACAAACTAAAACACTAATATATATGCCTGCATTGAGTAAATACTAAAATACCCAACTAAAATAAATGAAAGGTACAAACAAAGAATACTAAAAGAATCCAATGTCTGCTTTGTGCTTTGTGCCAGTCCCCTACTCTTCTGTCTAAGACTTGGGGCGGTAATGAGAAAAAAGTACTATACTTTCTAGGAAGATTTACATTCATATCACTCAATTCCTATGTATTTGCACATCTAACAGCTAAACTTCAATTTTTGCATACATGCCACCTTATCTATGCCTGAAAAGGTGTATTTAACTTTTTAAAAGTTAAAATGGTATTATTTTTGATGGGATATGAAAGATTTGGGTGGTCTAAATGTAGAAGGTAACACTTTGGTGTTACATATGTAAATACACAGGAATTTTGTTGTTTATATGTAAATGCTCTTACATTTTAAAGCAGCCCATGCCATATCAATGCAATCATATTTGCCATGTTTATAGCCTTGGGACCACTAAAGTGTTAGTAGATGCTTTTAAGCCAAGTCATTGAGTGTTTATTGAATTCCCCTAAACCATATAATCTATCATGCTGTCAAAAGCTGTCAATCCTTTTGAGATGCGTTTTTCTTATGCCCCACTTCTTGAAGAACTCAGGCTTGGCTCTTTAACGCTACTAATTCAACTTCTTTTTAAGTTTAATTAGAGATTAGTGGAAATATATTGGGACAACCAATGTGTTGTACATAGAAAGTAAGATTACAAAAAAATATTTATCGTGCTTTTAAATGAGTATAGAACATTTAATCACTACATTTATTATGCTGAAAAAATGTGAAGAACATGATCAATAAATTGGTACATATTCGTGTCTGAGAAGGTGAGCTTAGATCTTTGCTTTTGGAGCAGTGAATTTTTCTTTTTGGATATTTGTCATCACTATTGCCATAAAGGCAGTTACAATGCTCTTCTTCTCTTCCATTACAGTACTGTCAGATGTAAGCCTTTTTTTAAATTGCAATTCCTCAAACTAAGTAAAATAAGGTAGGTAAATGTCTTGGAGAAGAAAACCAAGGTCAAGCATGAGTTATTGACTTATAAAGTAGAAAAGGAATGCAAATTCTCACCTTTTACCAACCTTTGAACTTATAAGCCGATTATTTCCCGAAAATATGCTTGTTCAGCGTCAGTTTTCATGATGTTCCTTTTCTTACTATTTATTTATTATATGTACATGCAGCTAACTTTTTGGAGTACATCAGTATAGGTTTTAAGCCCATCTTTTTGTTTTAGTTATGGATGTTCTTATTGGATATTTACAGGAGGATGTTCCTTGGTGTATGCTTTTCGTTGATGATATCCTCCTTTTTGTGGATAAAACTAGAGAGAAGGAGTTCAAGAAAAAAATGATTTTTGGAGGTCAATTTTAGAATTTAAGGTTTTTGTTTTTGTAAATCTAAAACTGAATACATGTACTATAATTTTAATAGTAGTAGATTTAGTGGAGGGGTTGTAACAATTGGTGTTTAGGTCATCAAAAGAAGTGAACGATTTAGATATCCCGGGTCTATTTTCCAAAGTGATGGTGATATTTTGGGGATGTTATTGGTAGAATTCATGCTGGATGGTTGAAGTGGAGGAATGCATCAGGTCTATTGTGTGATAGAAAATAGAAAAGTACTAAAAGTACTACTTAGACTTAAAAGGAAAATTTTATAAGATGGTGGTGAGACTTGTATTTATGGAGCAGAATGTTGGCCTATAAAAGATAAGAATAAAAATGAAAGTGTTACTAAGACTTGAATGCTTAGGTGTATGAGTGACTTTATATTTAGAAAAAAAAAAAAATACAAAACGAATATATCTGTGAAAGGGTTGGAGTAGCTTCAATGACAAATAAGATTAGATAGAGTCGCTTTAGTTGGTTTAGACACATTAAACTTCGAACATCCGATGGCCTTGTTAGTAGAGTAGATGTCTTAGATTTTACTTATGTTATGAAAGGTAGAGGTAGACGTAAGAAAACTTGGGCATGTTGTGTTAAAATGAGATTAATTTTTTAAATTTAAATGAAAATATGACACTCAAGTGGCTAACTTGTAGCGAATAAATGAAGGCAAAAGCGATATAAGCTTTAGCACATTCACATTAGAATATATATATATCTATATCTATTAAAAGAAATGGTCAGGGCTATTAAATGTGCCCTGACCATCTCTAGGTGTGCTAAATATTCATGTAGCACACCCTACACACGGGGCGATTCGAACCCGTGACCTGAGGGGACTTATGATTTTCAGAGAGGCTGTTCTACCAACATTCAACAAACCACGGAATGTGCAGAGACACCTATATATATATATATATATATTTATATACATATAGGGGCATTTATATACCTAACACACCATTCTAATGTATTTACATATCTCACACCTATGGGGGGTTTGATACCATTTTTGAATAGGATTTAGCACGGGATTTATGAAATCCAACCAAAGCAAAAACGGAGGAGTTCTGTGAATTTATGAATTTTTCAGATTTAAGGTCCTAAATTTGTCCTTCTATTCGACTTAAATCCGGATTTGTTAAATCCACAGGGAGGGTGGATTTAATTGATTTATAATTTATCAAATTTACTAAATCCTGCTAATACTAAATCCTACTTGCAGCCAAACGCCCTCTTAAACTTCCATATTTAACCTCATAGAACTCAAATTTTTAATATCACATCAATTATAGCACTATTTTCACTTTTAAAAGTTGAAATACACCAATTTTTGAATATGAAAGTTGAGGTGTGAGATATGTAAATACATAAGAATTGTGTGCTATATATATATAATTTATTCGTTTTATTTTTAATAAAATGAAAACTATAGGGAAAGCATTTGACATCTTAGGCAATGTATTGTTTCTACTTAGTGAGATACATGTGTTGAGCTCTCTGCAGACGTATATGAATTGAGTGAAATCAGTTTCTCAAACACTTCACATATTGTAATTTCTTAGTTCATTCTTATAGCTACTTTTAAGAAGCGTTGATTCAATTTTTATTGGCATTTTTCTTTTGGGGCATTTACATACATACCACCCAAATCTTTGATATCACATTAAAAATACCATTGTTTGAACTTATAAAAAGTGAAATACATAGGGAAGGTGGCATGTATGTAAAATTGTGAATGTATGTAAAATTCATGTATGTAAAATTGTGAAGTTTAGGTGTTAGATAGGTAAATACAAAAGAATTGAGTGGTATGCATGTAAATCTTCCTCTTGGTTTTAATTCATTGTCTTATTATTCCTTCTTTTTTTAGTTCCCTCGCCTAACATGGTGGCTGCATTGCAGACATCTGAAAATGATGCTGATACTATTCCGGTGCCGATAGTAATGATAGACCAGGATTCAGATCCAAATGCAACAATTGTACAACTTAGTTTTGGGGATCGCCTTGGGGCACTGATTGACACGGTGAAATGACTGAACTTTACTTTCCATGGATCAATTATTTATGTACCTATTTATTTACATATCTAACACCTAAACTTTAATTTTTATATTTATATCTCCCAATTCTTTCATATCACATAAAAAATACCCCCATTTTAACTTTTAAAAAGTGAAATACAACTTTTCATGTGTAGGTAATGTGGCATGCGTGTAAAATTGAACTGTAGGTGTTAGATATGTAAATACGTATGAATTATGTGGTAAATATTCCTCATTTTTTTCTTGCATTATAGTTTCTGTTTTCATTGAGATTAAAGGGTTGGGGCCATTGTTATTTTCCTTTTTCCTCTGAAAATCTTTGGATGGCTAATGATACCTTGTTCAGAATTTAAGTCTTTTATGATAATTTTATTACATTAATCATTATCTGCTCTATTTATTTCATCTATCGACGTGCAATAATTTCTTTGTTATTATTATTATTATTATTATTATTATTATTATTATTTGCCTTTTCATCCTGATCCTTTCTTTCTTTCAATAGTTGATACTCTTCCCCTAACCGAGATAATTTGCATCTTTCTTTTTGGGTAGATCTTTTATTTAATTGGAAACTGAATAATGAAGCTGCTCCCAGGAAAAAAAGTGCATTTGAGTGGGCTAACTAAATTACTGCTGTTTGCTATTGAAATTTATCTTTCTGCTTTTATGCTCTGGGAAATTTGCATACTTACCACACAATTCTTATGCATTTAGATATTTAACACTCAAAGTTTGATATTTACATTTATAACACATCAGTGTCAAAAACCTATGCATGAAAAGGATATTTTACTTTTATAAAGATAGTGATGGTGGCATTTTTGATGTGATTTGAGTGGGATAATTGTAAATATGGATGTTTAGGTTTAGATATGTAATGCATAAGAATTTTCTGGTGTGTATGTAAATGTATATCTCTTTGGCATTTTAATGAATGTTCGTCTATTTTGACCTGTTTAGAGAACAATCCCTTACGTTAGCACGTACCATTGTTTAGATGAAGGCAATTAAAGATCTGGGTCTGGATGTGAGTAAAGGAACAGTAACAGCTGGAGCTTCCGATCAAACGAAGTTTTTCATTACAAAAATGTGAGTGATCGTTTCTTTTTTCTATTTTTCCCTAAAGAGAAACTGTGCATTGTTTAGTTACTTATGGAAATAATTCACAACAAAAATTTTTAAAGTGCTTCAATTTTCCTTCTTATTTTAGCTAAATAATGTTTGCAACCTTGAAAACTCTAAAAAAGACTAAAGAAAAGGAAAAGATGACAAGAATATGCGGAGTTATCAAGATAGGCAAGCTGCATGCTTGATGATGGAGATAACATCTGCTTGAAAAGTTTTAGTAACCTGTGATCGTCATACCCTGCGTGGATTGACGCGGGGAGCGCCATACCTGTTGACCTCATTTTTGGTGAGGTCTTACTTTCTTTGTTATTATTATTATTATTATTATTATTTGCCTTTTCATCCTGATCCTTTCTTTCTTTCAATAGTTGATACTCTTCCCCTAACCGAGATAATTTGCATCTTTCTTTTTGGGTAGATCTTTTATTTAATTGGAAACTGAATAATGAAGCTGCTCCCAGGAAAAAAAGTGCATTTGAGTGGGCTAACTAAATTACTGCTGTTTGCTATTGAAATTTATCTTTCTGCTTTTATGCTCTGGGAAATTTGCATACTTACCACACAATTTTTATGCATTTAGATATCTAACACTCAAAGTTTGATATTTACATTTATAACACATCAGTGTCAAAAACCTATGCATGAAAAGGATATTTTACTTTTATAAAGATAGTGATGGTGGCATTTTTGTTGTGATTTGAGTGGGATAATTGTAAATATGGATGTTTAGGTTTAGATATGTAATGCATAAGAATTTTCTGGTGTGTATGTAAATGTATATCTCTTTGGCATTTTAATGAATGTTCGTCTATTTTGACCTGTTTAGAGAACAATCCCTTACGTTAGCACGTACCATTGTTTAGATGAAGGCAATTAAAGATCTGGGTCTGGATGTGAGTAAAGGAACAGTAACAGCTGGAGCTTCCGATCAAACGAAGTTTTTCATTACAAAAATGTGAGTGATCGTTTCTTTTTTCTATTTTTCCCTAAAGAGAAACTGTGCATTGTTTAGTTACTTATGGAAATAATTCACAACAAAAATTTTTAAAGTGCTTCAATTTTCCTTCTTATTTTAGCTAAATAATGTTTGCAACCTTGAAAACTCTAAAAAAGACTAAAGAAAAGGAAAAGATGACAAGAATATGCGGAGTTATCAAGATAGGCAAGCTGCATGCTTGATGATGGAGATAACATCTGCTTGAAAAGTTTTAGTAACCTGTGATCGTCATACCCTTCGTGGATTGACGCGGGGAGCGCCATACCCAGCGTGGGGGCACGCAGATCCGCGCAGGCACAGTATGAGCTGCATGCGACTGGCAGGTCCAGTGGGAGAAGGTTCATGCGGCCGGCTCCTCTTTATCCGAAGACTATGTATATGTTATTTATTGTGTTTTAGGTTAGTTTTGGCGTGAGTATATTTAGGACAGCTGCAGGCGTATTTTTTCTTCATTTGAGGGTTGTAGCCGAGGGATTGGGTGGCGCTCTTGTTATATCTCTCTCCCAAAGTAATGATTGATTATCTTCCCCTATTCCCCTTCCATATCCTCTTACTTCACTCCCGGCCGCTCCTTCCTTTCTGCAGCCACCAGAACAACAATTTTTACTGCTGTTTCCTACATTTCTACCATTTCCAGCCACCTCCCTCAATGCCCAGGCTTATTGCCGCCCACCATAACTGTGCTCCAGGGCCTCTACCATTCCCTAACCTTCCCGCATCGCTTGCCGCCTACTTCCTTCACTACTACTGCCCGGAACTTGCTGGAAATCCCTAATTTTCTGCAGTACTGAACCTTCCCCGCCACCTTCTCTTCTTTCGGACTTGCTGCCGCCCCCGAAAAGTCACCCCACTGCAGCTCTCTCTCATTCCAGTCCCTCAGGACAGTCGATTCTTGCTGATTACTTCCGGTTACAGCAATTCCCTGCTTGCTGCTCAGGACAGCAAGCTGACGCCGTCTTGCCACTATTTCCCCACAGCCCTGCACCTTCCCAACCTGTCTTCCACCATCTCAATCCCCTAACGGCCACCGCCATCACTCGAGATCCATCCTAGTTGAGTGTCTTTGTCGTGTCAATCATTATTTCAGTTTTTTGGGTGTTGTGTTGCCGTATTTTTCTTTTCAAGTGTGTTGTTTGTAATTGCTTATTTGCTTTCAGTAACAATATTTTCATTAGATTATGATTTGGGTTAACTCGGGTATATTGAGGCCTTAGAACTGACCAAGAATCAAAATCCTAAATAGATGATGGGTCTTCATATTCACAACAAAAATTTTATTCATGTCATAAATTGTCTTACATGACATATCTCTTATTTTTGTGTGAAAGAAATTACAAACGACTAACAAATTATCAAGAAATTGCTAAAAAACTTGTAATCAATTTCTGTCAAGTTTATTGATATTGACTGGAGTATCCTTGATAAAAAGTGGAATCTAAATACATAAAAATATTTCAAATATCTATGATAAAATAATTTTTCAAAATTTATGTCCATGTTAACCCTCGCCTGCATAATACTCCATTTTGGAGAGTGCTGGTTTTAATACATCCTAAGTAAGCATCATAATCCATGAACTACATATCATTGAATATTGGATGGCACTTACAATGTACTTGAGGACAATGTAATCTGACGGTTTCCATTAGAATAATAGGATTTGTCTGCTTCTTGGTGAGAATTAGACGAGCCTGTTCTAGCACTGTCACCTTTTATGAACACCTTATCCTCATAACTCTTTGGGCAAGAGTTCTCTGTACATCAGGAGTTGTGCATACCAGTGATCTTTTTCCATTTTGGATTGATCATGTAATATGTTATGAAGATGTGTTCATCTTAAGAAAGTACTCTACAAAAACTCTTTTATATTCTAGAATGTCTACTTTATCATTTCATAAAATACTTGCCTTATATGATAGACTCTTGAAGATTTCTCTTTTATTAATCTTTTCTAGTTTCTATTTTGTAGGATGATGATATCATCCCTATAAATTAGAGGATTCTTGTATGTTTTAATGCCACCAATAAATTAGAGGATGCTTGTATGTTGTACTATCACTTACAATTACATGCAAGCAACCCACTAATTTTTCTTCATTTTTTTACCTCTATTTTTGTCTTTTGCATAAGTTACTCATTCTATTTCTAAATCAAAAGTTTATACAGTGTCATTAGCCAAGCTACTGGAGTCAACTCAATCCACGATGATGGAAGACAAATTTTATTAAGCAAATAACGAAGGGTACAATCGAGACTCCATAATCAAGACAAGGACAACACAATCCAACAGTAGCCTGAGGAGCATATCTGTGGGCGTCGACAGTGAGAGAGGTGTGGCTGGTGACTGCAGGCGAATGGAGTAGCAGGTGCGGGTGGTTGTTGTAAGGTGCGGGGCAGCAAATGTTGTAGTGTCAGCCGGACAACAGGCGCGGGTGGCTGCCTGAGGCTCGAAGGGAAGCTACAGGAGGGTCGACGGGCTGCAGGAAAGGAGGTCGCAAAAGACAGTGGGTGTAGATGGCTATTCGAAAGGCTTGGAGTCTACTAACGTCCGATTGGAGGTGTTAGAGGGAGTTCTGGGTCATTGCGTGGCGTTGGAGACAGGAGGCAACAATCGAACAGAGGTTGAGAGAAATGAGCAGATCGCTGCGAGGTTTTGGAGAAGTCAACAGATGGTGGCTACTATTGGTTGGGAGGGTCGAAGTGGAGACGGCGGCCTGCGGGAGGGACGAACGGTGACCGACAACTGGCTGGAGGCGCTGGGAGGCGACTGCTACGACCTGGAAGGCATGGGACGAGCTGATGACAATCAGGAGATGCAGGAGGATGATAGGTGTCTACAACATTTTGGGCTCATGGGATAAAGTGGCGGCATTTATGGAACACAGATAGGTGCTCTACGACGGTCTAGACACACTGAATAGAGCATGTGGAGGCAAGAGAATGGGGAAACGGTGGAGATAGTCACCGTCTCATACGAGTTACTTCGGAGTACCTTTTCGTCGTCTAATACATCCCTCAGAAAGGGAAAGAATGCAGACGACGGACTCTGAATTTAGAAAATAGTTCAACAACCCTTCGTCTAAAGAAACACCACCTATATATAATAGAGATTAGTAAGTATAAATAGGTAATAATCAAAAAAGAAAGAAATTAGAAAATGAAGGCATAGAATAGGCAAGAACTAGAAAGGTGTAATTGAAAATGAAGGGGAATAGGAGGGAATCAGTAAAAAGTAAAGGGGAAGATGTGGATGGCAGGTTCCACGCCTTATGGGGGCTGACTAGTCCAACAAGCCTGGATCAGACAAGGGCGGTTCAGTTGGCCCCCCAATCTGTAGGCCTGTGTCACAAGTTCTCTTTTGCACGAAGGAGAGTTTCTTGCTTTCACTTCTCTTCACTTACATATGATACAAGATTTACCAATCAACACATCATTTTAATCCATACTTTTAATTGAGATCTCATGCCATATTTGTAGTCACTCTTAGTCTTTGACTTGATGTCTTTGAAGAAGATTCGATGTCTCTCTAGTGGAAGTTGATGGACTACTTTCATAAAGAAAGTGGTTTGTTCTGCAAGTGATTCAGAGTTAATTTCTTGAATCCAGTCCTATTTTGTTTTATCTTTTTTTTTTCAATTCATAGAAATTCAAAGCATGGTTGAAATTATTTCTAGCTTGGAGGAAATTGTCACGACCCGCCTTGATAACTTATAGTTAATCAAGTCAGGAACTTCGATCGGACGGTTTAATGTTTAAATAATTATCAATATACTTATTCCAATATATAAAAGTCACTAATAATTCACAAAATATAATACATAGAAAAATCAAAACATTCATGATTAACAACAAAGTCTGTGTACAACTTCTTTAGCCAACACATAACTTTATATCACTATTCTGAAGAAAACAATAAAAAAAGAAACTACAATCACATCATAACATGATACCTATCAACTGTTGTTTCTTCCTGTAAACTAAGTGTCTCCTGCCAGACAACAATCTACAGCTTTTTTTTTCTTGATAGAAATCATTAAATTCAATAGTAAGTTCACGAATTATTGAGTAATTATAAGTATAATTTGCTTTAAATTTATATGCAAATTATATGTATGAATGACCTAAAGAAAATACAATTCATTATTTTATAAAACTATAAATTTTAACCCTAAATTTATACATTTTCGTTTCAATTTAAGTATTTACTTTGTACCTCTTTAATATCAAGATCACCGCTATAACTGAAGGTATTCCCAAAATTCTACCCGCAAGTGCCTTAAAAAATTTTCATCTTAATGTACATTTTTACAATTTTTTATTTATTTATTATGCACGGGTACATTGTATCCTCTACCAGTACCATCTGGAGGTGAATACTGACTACGTTGAGTCTTTGCTTATCCGTTTATATTAATTTAAAATCATTTAAATGTACTTTTTTATTTGAATTGTTTTCCTACCATTTTAAAAAAAATATATAAAACTTCAAAATATAAGACATGGATGAAATATTTGTTTTTAAATTATATTACAAGTTCATTTTGATCTATTTTAAATGTAACTTCTAAATAAATCATTAATTAATTTAATGTCAATAAAAATATAATTACTCATCTTACTTTTTTTGCTTGATTTAACGATTTTATATCTCCAAATCTTCAAGGTTCAAATATTGTTTAACCTTAATTGTAGTTATAAATTAATAGTTTATTTAAATATGAATTTTAAATTAAATAAATTAAACTTTAACTTTAATTAAAAGATATCTTATCTTTCAAAGTGATTAGTCCCTCAATTTTGAAATTGTATCTCCCTTAATTAAATCATGATTCCAAATACATCTCTCTCTCTCTCTCTCTCTCTATATATATATATATATATATATATATGTACACACACACTCATTAATTGAATTATAATTAAAAATTTAAATTTTTTTTTGCTCGGCTACCTAAACCAAGCACAAGCCGACAAAGGGCAAGGCTCGTCTCTTTACCCACACACATGAGCTCCCTCTTCCTCATCCTTTGCATGCTTACAACACACAATGTTGTCTCCTCCTTGCAGTTTATTAAGAATCAGCTGTGATGCTGCTGAAAAATAATCTGATGTTGCAAAAAATTACAGTGGTTATTACAATTTTTTTATTTGAAAAAAGTCAAACCGTAGCTAAAAAACTCTCACCGCACCTTGCAAGGAGCGGTGGGAAAATACTTGTTTCAGCAGTAGTTCTTTGACACATGCGGCCAAAACAATGCCCTGGGGTTCAACTTTAATACAACATGCGGGGTTCGACACACCAAAACACAACGAGCATGCGAACATAGTGAACACAACATCAAAGCCGCCTTCTCCGATCGCACCTTCACGTAGAGTTGTTCCTTTTCATCTGCACGCGAGCATAGTGTCGATGTTGCGTGACCACATTCCTTTCTCATCAACCGACTGCTAGGGTTCGACGTCGTCTCCTATGCGTGCAAAAGACGACTTCCTTCGTATCTTCTTCTTCTTCCTCCTTCCTCTTCATTTTCATTGCTTCTTCTCCTACAACTTCCTTCGCTCATAGAAAAGCTACAATTTAGGACCGGAAATGAAATCTCCTCCCTTCTTCCTTCTCCTCTCTTGCTCTCTGTCTCGATCTAATCATATGATTCTTTTTGAGTTCGAAAGCAACATTCTCTCCTTAAACACTGTCTTCCGGTCGGTTACTCATGTCGTTTCAAAATTTATTCTCTATTTATTTTATATTATTATTACTATTATTATTATTATTATAAATATATATAATCATTGATTTATCTATATGGCGTCTCCTCCCGCGCACAACTTTGCTAGGGTTTCGCCTCATGGCGAATCCTAGAATTTGTTACGACGTCTTCTCGCATCGTCACGCTCGAAGAACCTCGACTCCTCTTGTCTGTTTCGTAGCACTGCCTCGCCTCAGTCTTTCATCGTCGTCGCCGTTTTGAAGGACGATTCTTGGGCGCGGGCTCATCTCGCCTTTTCTCGAGCTCGAAGAAGAAAGTTTCGCACTTTCAATCTTTCGTCCTCTCCTCGACTTGGAAGGGGATCCCCGTTTCAGTTTTTTTCTCTTTCGTTCACTGTAACTTCGTTGTCATATCGCCGCGCCTCCTTTTTTTGGCGATGGCTTCAGACAGATCGTATGTTGCTGCCCTTGCAGCTGTCCATGCCTCAGTAACTCCTAAATCGTGCCCATTCCCTCCTTCGTTTCTATTGGCGAGGGACATTAAGAAACCTGGTAGGAAGAATGAGAAGTCAGCTATCTTTTGTACGAAAGCTGAATGTAATCAGTTTGTTTCCTCATATCGTCTGAATTTGATCGGGAAATTTCTTTATGACCATCCCAAAATTGAGCTTATTCTTAAGGAATTTGAGCTTATGCACCTTGTTATGGAATGAAAAATTGGATCTTTTGATGAAAGACACATCTTTATTTAATTTAATAATGAAAAGGATTACACACGCTTATTTGCTCGAAGATTAATCAGGATTGATAACAGAGCGATGAAGATTTTGAAATGGTCGGTGGGTTTTGACCCACAGACGGAACCACCAATCATTCCAGTCTGGATTCGCCTCCCTGACATGAAATTTCATTATTTTACTCCAAAAGTGTTGTACTCTATTGCTTCAGCCCATGGTAAGCCACTCAAAATGGGTATTCCTACTTATAATATTTCCCTTCCCTCTGAAGCCAGTAGACTTGTTGAAAGGGACATCACTTCAATCGCTTATAAAGTAATTTGATTAGGCACACAACACCAACAAAATGTTGTGATTGAGTCTTTCCCTTCGTATTGCTCGAATTGTCGTATGTTCAGCCACTTCATTTCTCAATGTCATCATCTACACCCTCATCTAAGACCAAAGAAGCAAAATGCTCAGCTTATTGATACTATTAATCAACAGAAGGATACTCTTGAAGATGTTATTATCCTCGCAATTAATATGTCAACCATTCAGCCTCCACACGATGCTCATTATGTAGGTTCCCCGTCTTTGGAACCTTTTTTCTTGGGGGAGGGGGAGACATTTCAGACTTCACTTGGCCTAGAACCTATTATTGATATAACGGGTGACAATATTTCTACTGCGTTTTTACCGCCTCATCAGATCGAGCAAGTTGTTAATGTTAGACAGGCACATGGGGGCTCATGATGTGCAAAAACGTATATTTGTCCGACCATCTTTAGACCAATCCACTGATCAGATGAGTCAACCTTCGGATGAGGAATGATAGATTTATACATCTAGAAAGAAAAAGAAGAATGAAGGCCTATTGCCAAACTTGATGGATGATACATTGATTATTTCGGGTAATGACAACAAATTTAACAATTTGTTAGCCAACTTCCGTCCTAGAACCAGAGGTAGAGACAAGGCTAAATTGAATCTTTCGCATGCTAACTGGATCTGCTAGTGTTGGCAGACTATTGGCGTACAATTTCCTATGTCTATTTTTTAATCTTGATTTTTTCGGTATACATGTATTTTCTATGTATGTGTTGTATGCCGAGTGGTTAGAGTGCCAATTTGGGCCCTTTCATCCATCCTATCTGTATCTTTCCTTTTATTAATATATTAGCTTTTGGGCTTTCTATATATATATATATATTAACAGATATTACAGAAATCATGTAGGTTTAGAAGAGAAGATGGTGGCTTGTTAGGAATGGATTTAATTTTGAATTTGATTGGGCAACTATGTAGAGATTACATTGGTTTTATATTGGAGGATAGAGAAGGTTGATGAGGGAGAAAATTTGGGGTTCATGTGTGTACTATTCATCAAATAGAAAATAATTTTTTAATGAGTAGTAAATTAATTGATAACAAAAATCAAAGGATATTTAGCTCAATTTTTAAACATGGTCAAAACAGGCTTCAATTTAATGGAAATTATTTTGAGGTAGGCAATCTTGCATGTAGAATGATGAACTTGTAGATTGATGAACCAATGTCATGACTCTAATTCCTATTTGACACAGGAGGATTTTAGATAAAGAAGGTTTCCTAGAAGAAAAAGGAAAAGATAAACATGGAAATCGGAAAGAAAATTAGCAGGAAAAAAAAATTACATTTGAACAAAGTGATTACCTTTCTTGGAAGAGTTCTAGGTCTCTCACATGTTCAAATGATCAAATTCTTAGAATAGATAAAGAAGTTTTCCTATATACACAATAATAACTTTATTTGCATGATTCAGAATTCTAATGTTTAGGTGGAAAAAATACCAAACTCTTAATAAATTTCTTAAAATATATCAATAAATTTTATAATAAATCTGTTAACAAAGTAATGAATCTAAGAGATAGAATAACTCTTAACAAAATAATGAAAGCTATATAATAGAATAATTTAAATCTTGTGGCAAAATAAACATTCAAATTTTAGGTACTATACTAGTGTTGCATTGCATGTTTATGGTTTCATAGGTTGTATATGAACTTCAACATTCAGTTTTACCTATCAAGTTTTGTTACATAGAACACAATTGTTTCCATACTTCTGTTAATCGGCTGAAAATTTCTTATTGTTTTGCCATTTAAATTTCAAGTTTTTAGTCAGATATTTTAAGAAATAATATTTTGAAAATTGTTTTTGGATATTTTGTGCTTTATCAAAATAGAAAATTGTCAAAATAGTCTTTTGACTGTTTACACGGGGGTCATTTTAGTCCTAAGTGTAAAAAAGTGATGTCAAATGAAAGATTTGGGTGGTATAAATGGAAACATAAAGTTTAAGTGTTACATAGGAATTGGGTGTTATGTGTGTGAATGCCCCTTCTTTTAGGAAGATTCAAGTGGATCATAACATGTGAATGAACATTTTAGGGGACGCAAAGTTGATGATCCAGCCATGTTGGAAAGAATTCGACTGACGATAATTATCAACCTGCTGAAATATCATCCAGTATGCCTTTAATTTTCCTGTACAATTTCTCGCTCTTTATTTGCAGTCTTCTCTTTTGATTTTAGTAACTTCTTTGCCTTCTTAGGAATCTAGTGAAAAATTAGCTCTGGGTGCGGCTTTTGGCATAAAAGCTCCTAAAAAGAAGGTAATCTGATTATTATTTTTTATTATTTGTTTATTTTGGCAACAATAATTGAACTAGTTTAAAGTTTCATTTAAATAGTTTACGCAAGTATGATTTGATGTATCCATGGAAATCAAAAACCTGAGAATTCAGTTTGTCTTTGGTTTTATTTTTTGGCCTTTTATGTTAATGCCTAACTACTAATAGAACTGCTAAAGAAGTACCTCAATCTCGGAACAGTTTCTTATACATCAGTAAATTTCCCATAGAACCTTTATTGCTGAGCTCTGCCCATTAAGCCTTTAGTCATGTTCCATCTTTTCTATGCATGCATAATTTGTAAGGTGTTAAAATAGTCCCATAACTATTTACATTGTGCAATCTCAATCCCAGAGTTTATAAAAGTTCTAGATTAGTCTCCAGATAATTTGGACTGAAATATTCCATTCTGATAACTATTTCAGCTCATATTAAAAGAGAATACGGACTGAAGTGGCACTTTTATAGGTTGTGGCTTAAAATAACCTACTACAAAGATTAAGGAGATTACTTGAAACTTTTCTCATAATTTGTATGAAAGCAGTCATAGCTTTGGAAGTATACAATATTGCCGTATGGGTTTGAGCCATTAAATATGGTTAAAATGATGTAATTATGATGCATTATAACGGTTCGAGGGGCAACCTTTTTCATTTTTAAAAATTTTCATTAATCTAAAAAACCTCAAAATGATGTGCTTTCATTTTGGTTCAGCAAGCACCTTGTTGTCTTGGTTGATGGATCACCATCGATGGAATGCATTTGATTCAAGTTTGGTAGGATTTCTTGGATCACTCGAAGGAGAAATAAATTTCACTTGTATGATGGCTGAATGATTCTTTGTTGGCTCCAAGGGAAAATAGCTAATCATTTTTAAGGTTTTGCAAATAAGTTGCAACTGTGAAGTTTTCATTCATTCATTTCTTTTCATCCGGTGAAGAAAGCCGACGTCAGTTTATATCCGACATTATTCTTCTACATTCTTCTTGTAGAAGAATAGGTGACTAGAAAAAAAATTGTTCATTCATTCTTGCAATGGGTATTCGTATACAAAACTACCAATAAAAAAAGGAAATAAGTAATGGCATAAAAATAGCCTTCACCTATCCGTCATTTGATATTTAGAGGTTTTCACTTGATGCCAAGGGAGCAATTTGTGGGCTCATTTTTTTCCTTTTTCTTTTATAAGATTGGAGTGAGGTATTTTCTTATAAACAATAAACATGAATGAAACCCGTATTGAATTTTGCAGCCAGCCTGACATGCTTGAATTTAGTCTCTTATCGATTTTCAGATAATCAAGATTGTAAGTTATAAGTGCTTTTAAAAATGACTAATGAAAACCTCTTGTTTGAAGGCAAATGCTGATCACTATCAGGTTTTTGAATATTTAAATGAAGATTAAATATAAGTTTGCGAATATCATTTTTAAATAATCACTAAGATTTCTAATATTCTATTCGTGCCTAACTTGCCGTGGAATCAATAATATTTTGACTAACGAACATGAGATGATCGTAAATGCTTCAATTGACATTTTGCACGCATTTGGATAAATATTGTATTCATGTAAATATATATAATTTTAAATAATTTTAAAAAACAATTAATGAAAGGTAAATGTCCGCTTGTGCTCCGACAATTATATCAAAAGTTTAATTATAGGATCGAAGAATGTCACGTAAGTTGACATAAGATTATTTTTGAAATAACTTCTAATACTGTGCATACTAATCAACTTTAATATGCCCGCAAATTCGACATTAATCCTAAGTTTTCTAAACTTATGTATATGAAAATGTTGTGCTGGTCTAACATATGTTTAAGCTCAAACCTAATATGACCTAAAATGATGTATGATTATTTTAAAACACGCAAATATTTACATATTATGAAATCTTTGTTTTCAAAATCACATTAAATCACATTAAATAAGTTAAGCTTCACGCACTAAGGATCGGGTCATCCTACTCATTGGGCGAGATTGTAAGTACTATTTTGGTCAGTCCAATCCTCCTTATAAGAACCAAAGTTGACAAAATTGAGCCCCAACATACCACTCTGACTGTCCTCCTCATGAGGATTGGTGCGACAGGACTTGTATTTCAAATGATGTTTAAGTAATATCAAATCGCTGATGATGATTATGTTGAATGTAAATATCAATTAGAGAGGTTTACTTTACAAATTAAGTTAAAAAAAATATTTGAACAAAAATAATTGATTTAGGTTATGAACTCGATCTTCTGTAAGCAGTACAGAGTCGACAATGTTCAAAATTATCTAAATCTCTAATGATGGTTGTGTTAAATATAAATATCTTCTTGACTGATCTATTTTCCAAATTAAGCTAATATGAACATCTAAATAAACTCAATTGATTTTTGTTATAAACCCAATCCTCTAAAAGCTCGACAAAATCTACATGGTTCAAAAATAGCTAAATCCATGATGATTGACATATTTATTACACATCTCAACCGAAGAAGTTTATTTATAAAATTAAAATTTTAAATTACAAAATTCAAAATGTTTTTAAGAAATATATCATTAAAAAGCTAAGAGCAAAATGACATTCGCCATCCATAATCATTTGCAAATCATTTATCGAGGGTGATAAATTTAATATAGACTCAAACTTATAAAGAACAAATGTTATATCAAATATAGAATTAAATTCATACTTAAAATAATTTTTTATTAGTAAGGATGTAGCTTGAGTCATCTTTCTGCTCGATTTAGGTGTTAAGACGTAATTTAAATGACCGTATTATGCTTTTTTCTTTTTTTTAGGGATTTTTTTATTTTAAACCGAATGACTTACGACTAGAGCCATCTGACCGGGTGATTTGTCATCAAATAACACAATTATATTACGGTCACAATTGTAGCTCGTATTCTCCTTAATGGTATTCTATTTTTTTGAGTTGTAAATCATATAGTATACCTGATGCAGCATAAAATTTTTTGTAACCTAGTTTGACTTAGATTAGTCTTATTAGCCAAATATAAACCCCAGGTCTACAAGGTTCCCTTGAATGAAACAACTCATGACTGTTAATAAAGATCTTTCTATTAGATTGGGTCAACTACCTTCTCTAACTAGATAAACTAGGGACCATGATGACTCGAGATGGCATAATCATGAGGATCTTGATCAAGTTCGTCATAATTTCCACCACCATTCGCTTTAAGCTCATTGATAATTTCACAGTTTCAAAATTTTAAATTTTTTGTTATTTTTGAAGTCTGAATACTTAGTGCCTAATAACTAGCCTTAATCAAAAGTGCTCTCTCGTTATTTGAAGGGATAATTTATCATAGGGTGTTGCGTTTATGGGAAAAATCGAACCTTATAGCTTAAATTAATCGCAAAATGAGGGTGAAATATCTAGGTAATTTCTTATCTACCATTTTATCTGACTTCTGAAAATTTCAGCCTTGAATCTCATGGTAAACTCCATCATCATAATCCATATTCATTTCGAGGAAGGACGAGGCGTCGAATTTTTGGAGACTTGAACCTTGATTTTTGGCCAATGATGGATAGATTCAATTTTGCCAAATGTGCTTCTAAGTGTTTTATGTTGGTTCCATATTGATCTACGTTATTTAGCGATAGTCGGTCAAAGGGAATACATATTCTTGCTAATGGATTTTTCTGTTTTAATTATATTGGAAGATTTATGTGCCGCCTTAGTTCATATGTATTCACATATCTAATACCTACGTTTAAATTTTTACATATATGCCACCTTACGGATGCCTGAAAATGGTGTATTATACTTCTTAGAAGTAAAAATAGTTGTCATTTTTATGTGATGTGAAAGATTTATGTGGTATAAATGTAGTGGTATAAATGTATAAATGTAAAAAGTAAAATTTAGGTGTTACATATGTAAATACATAGGAATTGTGTGGTATGCATGTAAATGCCCCAATTATATTTCCATTGCACACAATCATGACCTTACAAAACTGGATATCACAATTATGCTTCTTCTTTGAACCTCACATTGGCAAAGTTCTAAGATATCCTTGAAGGAAACTAAAGGAGCTGTATAGGATCACTTTCATTTTATTTAATTTAATTTTTTTTATTTTTATTATGTTTTGATTTAAAATAAAAAAATACTTGACTATTTGATGATTTTGGCAGCCTGACGTGGATATGACAACAAATATTCACATTCAAGATGATGGACCCAAACGAAGGTGAAAAATTTCCACCCTGTTTTGAAGTTTAAGAAGCGATTTTACTCTCCGTATTTACCATAATACTTTTCTTTTCACTTCTTTCCAGCTTGCTGTATGTAAAGACTCCTGATCGACCTGGACTGTTGATGGAAATCATTAAAATGATGGCAGACATAAATTTGAGTGTAGAATCTGCAGAGATTGAAACAGAGGTGTGTTTTGCTATTCAATTATGTTAGTAAATGTTCTAGGTGGACTTATATGTAATTTTTATGTTTTGATAGAGCAAAGTGTCAGAATAGCCTCCTAACTATTTACATGAGATAATTTTAGTCCCAAAATCTGTGAAAGACTTCAATTTGGGGTTGAAATAGTCCTCTATTAAAAGAGCCTGTGGACTAAAATGACCCCCGTGTAAAGGGTTAGGCGAATATTTTGACACTTTTTATCTATATTTATACATCTAATGCTAAAATTTTACATTTATTTATATAATTTTCTAGTGTTTAAATAATATCAAAATATACATTTGAAAATCTGCTTTCATCAGTTAATATTAGTAGATTTTTTTTGTGATCTAGAGATTTTGGCGTTATATAAGTAAAATATAAAGATGTAGATGCTTCATATATAGATATGTAAGAATTAGGTGGTATTTATGTTCTGTAAATTTTCATTTTGGGCATTTACATGCATACCCCCAATTCTTGTATTTACATATCTAACACCTATACTTTAATTTTTTTTCATTTATATTACATAAAAATACCATCATTTTAATTTTTAAAAATTGAAATAAACATTTTCATCTGTAGGATCGATGGCGTGTATGAAAAAATGGATGTTTAGGTGTTAGATATGTAAATACATAAGAATTGAGTGGTATGTATGTAAATCTTCCTTTCATTTTTAGATAACTAACACAGCCGAACTTGCCAGGGACTCATTGTTAAGGATACGTTTCATGTCAGCTACAGAGGCGCTGCTTTGAAAGACTCCTTAAGTCAGGTAATTTATAGTTCACCCCTTCTGTAAGGTTTGATATATATTGCAACTACGCCCCTTCTTTGCAAAACCACCCATCAGGTTTTTATATTTAAATAAATGAGAAATTTACATACATATCACACAATTATTATATATTTATAAATCTAACACCAAAATTTTCTTGATTATTTTTATAATACTTCGTTGTTACAAATTTATACATGAAATTATGACTCTCATTTTTATAAGTATTAATATTATTTTTAATTTGATTTTAAAGATTTGAGTGTTATGCATGTAAAAATGGAAGTTTAGATGTCAGATATGTAAATACGTAAGAGTTATGTCGTTTGCATGTAATGCCCTGATGCGGGTGTCTCCTGTGCCTGGGAGGGATGCGGGATTTCTCATCACCAAGCGGGCGTCTGCCTGCTCACTTAGATCGAACTGGTACAGGTGAGAGTTGACCGGTTCTCGTGGGGCACTCCTAATTATTCTATTATTATATTTGTATTTCTAATGTTCTAGGGTTGGTTTTTGGTATTGTGTTCGTTTAAGATAGTCGTTGGCATCTTTTTTTTTCTTTCAAGGGTTGTATCCTAGAGTTTGGGTGGTTTTCCGACTGTATCTCTCCCGATGTGATTATATTCTCTATCCCCTTTCACATCCTCCCGACATCACACTTGATTGCCTTCCATTGCTGCAACCGCCCCTGAACAACTGTTGTTGCTATTTTCACTGCAGCTTTTCCAATTCCAGTCACCTGTCCTCACTGTCGCCGCCCATGGCATTCGTCCCCTTTCTGTTCTGCAGTCTCCTGCATCCTCTGCCGCTACCGCTTTCCCCCTGCTATCGCAAAAAAACGGTTATTTGTTTTTCACGTGCAGTTCCAACCATCCAGCCATCCATTTCTCTCATTCCAGTTTGCTACCATTGCCACAACTCCTAATCTTTGCTGCTGCCGTTCTCCTCCCTTGGTGCCGCAGCTGTAGGAACCTCTCTCAGCCACTTATTGTTATTTTGGTTAACTCTCCTATCATGCTCTCAACAATTTTCACTACAATGGCAAACAATGAGTGTTATATATAGGTAAGAAAGGTTATTAGGAAGGAAACAAATCTTAATTCAATTACTATTGAAGAAAAAGAGTACAATTCACACACACAAAAACCCTAACTTCAATTTTCACAGATATGCCATCTTATATATTATTTGAATAGGTTCCTCATTATTTCAATATATGTAAATATGCTAGTTTGTACATAAAAAATGTGTCACCACTGATCTCAGAGAGATCTAACGATCCAAAAGGGAAGAGTACGGCAAAAACTGGCACACTGCTAGGAGGATGTGAGGAATCATTTTATGAATAAGACAAAACATATTGTTGTTCATTTCTCTCCCACTATCTATCTATTTCTTTCTCTTTTTTGATTTACGCCTTATTTCTTGGGGGATAATTCACACACACAAATCCCTAATTTATCTATTTATTCAATTATCTCCCTTTATTATAAGAAATTATAATTTATATTAATAAGAGCATTTTTAATATTGCATATTTTTCTTTTTTTATTTATCCTGTAAAATCAGATGACTTGAAAATCTGTTTGGCCCTCCAGATTCTGGTGAATTCCCTGCGGTATCATCTTCTGAGGCCAGAAATAGAAGAAGAAAGCTACTAAGCTTTCTAATTGCTGCACTGCTTCCGGAGTTATGCAATGGAAATAAGCTAAACTATTTTTTATTTTTTAAATATAAAAAATGAGCGAAATAATATGTTTTAAAGTGAAATTTGAGTACTTTGCACACAGTTCTCATGTATTTACATATCTAATACTAAACTTTGATATTTGCATGACATTCTTAGTGTTAGACATGTAACTACAAAGGATTCGAGTGCTTTATGTGTCAATATGAAAAATTAGGTGTGTGATTTGTAAATAAATAAGAATTGTGTACAAAGTATGTAAATTTTTTATGGTTATTATGTTGAAGGATTCACATACTTATTACTCAATTCTTATGTATTATCACATCTAACACCTGCACTTCAATATTTACATACATGCCATTGAACATTTGCATGAACAAGGTGTAATTCTCTTTATAAATTTAAAATTGTGTAATTTTTTTTAATGCATAGGAAAGATTTAGATGGCATAAATGTAAAAAAGCAAATTTAAGTGTTAGGCATGTAACTACAAAGGAATTGGATGAAATGGCTCCTATTCTGTTTGGTCATCAGTAAGCTTTTGAGCAGAGGGAATTAGGAAGACCCTTGCACGTCTTGAAATTAATTTTTTTTAAAGTAAATTAATTTATAATGTTTTTAAAAAATAAATATAAAAATGATTTTAAAAAAAATTAACCTTTATTCATCAATAAACAATTGGAAAAATTTACTTGCATGCCACTCAATTCTTATGAATTTGCATATCTAATGCATAATGCTTGATTTTAACATGTATGGCATATTGCATATGCATGAAATATCACATAATAAATATTAAAATATTTTTTATGTGATATGAAAGATTTAGGTGAATATAAATATTTTTTTTTATGTGATATGAAAGATTTAGGTGATATAAATATTTAAAATAAAGTTTAGAGATAGAATTATAAATAAGGCAAGATCATAACATGTTCTTAAATTTTTTAAATATTTTGAATATTATCTTGCTAGATTATATCCAATGAATTTGAAAATTTTCCATATAAATAACAAATATTAATAATTTTTTCTTATGTAATTTAAAAATTTTAGTAGCTTTGCTTCTTGATATTTTTTTTGTCAATGCCTAAGAAAGAATAAATATTTCATGATTTTATTCACCATAAAAAAATAAAATTGATTTTGCATGGGTTTACATGTGTTTCACTTCTTAAAAAATAATAATATGATAATAATATTTTTAATATAATATTTATGATTTAAATGTTACACGTGAATATTAAAATTTGTGAGTTTTGTATATAAATATATAAGAATTGTAGGGGTGTAAACGAGCCGAACATGAGTAAGTTCAAACTCAGCTTGTGTTCTACTTATTACAAAACATCATTGTTTGTGTTCTACTCGTTTATATTTTTAAATACAAAAAATGTGTTCATATTTGACCGGTTTGCTTAACGAGCCAAACACGCGCTATGCACAAACAAAGAATCATTTTGACAATCTTAATCATACAGTCGTAGAATATTAAAGGTTGGGACGATTTAAATTTTATTATTTATATTGAAATATCATTTAAATCTAATTTAATATATTTTTATTTTATTAATAATTTTTTAATTGATAATTTTAATTGACTAGAAAACTTTAGGCAACTAAATTAATTTCTTTAAAAATAATAATCATTAATATATATATTAATACTTTTAATTGATTATAAATCTTTTTAGCCTTGTAGTCAATTAATTTTTTTAAAAATACTATTCATCAAAGACATATATATAATTGATGAGTAGTATTTAGAGTCAAAACGAGCCGAACACAAACGAACAAAATTGTTCGTTTTCACAAAAAAATTATTTATACTCAGCTCGTCTACTTAGCGAACAGATTGAACAGCAGCTGTTTTGACAGCCCTAAAGAATTGTGTGGTTGATATGCAGGCACTCCTAAAATAAAGTATAGAAAAATAAAAGATACAAATCTACATCACCACCCCAAATTAAAATTCATTTAAAACTAATGATACAAGACTAAGATTGGAGCCGTGGATGGGGGCAATATGTAATATATATATAT